AATGTAAGTTCACTGAAACAGTGGTAATTAAATTGAATAAACGACCTCTGTACCATGAACAGAACACATGTTTCTTCACATCAGTGATATTGAATGGTTAGGCGCTGCACTCATTATCAGATTTTTTTTAAAACTCTTTCGTATTATTTTTAAAGGCGTGATTTAATGTTAACGTGTGTAGCCAAATATTCAGTTCGACAAACAAACAAAAATTTATCAAATAACTGTGTGCGCATATTTTTCAGAGATTTTATAAGCCCGTATTTTCCAGGTTCCCCATTAAGGAATCTGAGGACATGGCGTTAGAGGACGCCCCACCCTTGATCATGAATGGCATGCCGTGGGGACAGATGGGATGCCAAATGGGTCGTCTGGCGTCGTACCGCCACTACCCAGCGAGCGCGGCCAAATTTGCGACATCTCTGGCCCTCTCCGGGTTCGTTTACATCGGGGACGGGGTGACGGACACAGTCGTCTGCTTCTACTGCAGGAGGGAGAAATCGAACTGGCGGGTGGACGACGGCATCGAAGACGCGCACTACCCTTCGTGCGACAGATCGGTGACGTCTGTTGGCGCGCGTATCGATACGCCTGTCTCGCGGAGTCGTGATGAAATGAGGCATCAATCCTTGCAAGCCCCCAACGTGACTTCTAATGGAGATGGTAGACAAGTGTCAGCTTCAACCGATAATGGACGATTGGTTTTGGAATCGGATTCGAATTCCGTTTCATTCGATGCTCAGATTGGGGCTCTTAGAGATGAGCTGCTGAGAAACAGAGAACCGTTCATGAGACTCGTACGGCGAGATACATCGACGATCAGTGAGCAGGGGGACTTGCCTAAAAGTGTACATACATCAGTGACCGGTAAAACTACAGCCGTTGACCTCATTATGAAAACTCCACCTAATAATTCCACTACAGACGCGATACCTATTGATACCAATAGGGAAATTGCACCTTTGGGTACCATGAGAGAAACTGCACCTCTTGACATCATTATAGAAGTTGCACATGTTGGTACCAAAAGAGAAAATGGACTTGTTGATACCAATAGAGCCTCTACAATGGTTGGTACCAATAGACCCACTACACCTGCAACAGGCAGAGAGACTTTTCCTGCTAAGATAATACCTGCTGACACCACACCTGCTGACACCACACCTGCTGACACCACACCTGTTGACAGCACACCTGTTGACACCACACCTGCTGACAGCACACCTGTTGACACCACATCTGCTGACAGCACACCTGTTCACAGCACACCTGTTGACAGCGCACCTGTTGACATCACAGCTGCTGACACCACACCTGCTGACACCACACCTGTTGACATCACACCTGCTGACACCACACCTGCTGACACCACACCTGTTGACATCACACCTGCTGACACCACACCTGCTGACATCACACCTGCTGACACCACACCTTATGACATCACACCTGTTGACACCACACCTGCTGACATCACACCTGTTGACACCACACCTGTTGACAGCACATCTGTTGACAGGACACCTGATGACACCACATCTGCTGACAGCACACCTGTTCGCACCACACCTGATGCCAGCGCACCTGTTGACATCACACCTGCTGACAGCACACCTGTTGACAGCACACCTGCTGACAACGCACCTGTTGACATCACACCTGCTGACACCACACCTGCTGACACCACACCTGTTGACATCACACCTGCTGACACCACACCTGCTGACACCACACCTGCTGACATCACACCTGCTGACACCACACCTGCTGACATCACACCTGCTGACACCACACCTTATGACATCACACCTGTTGACACCACACCTGCTGACATCACACCTGTTGACACCACACCTGTCACACCTGCTGACACCACACCTGCTGACACCACACCTGCTGACACCACACCTGCTGACACCACACCTGCTGACATCACACCTGCTGACACCACACCTGCTGACATCACACCTGTTGACACCACACCTGCTGACATCACACCTGTTGACACCACACCTGTTGACAGCACATCTGTTGACAGTACACCTGATGACACCACATCTGCTGACAGCACACCTGTTCGCAGCACACCTGTTGACAGCGCACCTGTTGACATCACACCTGCTGACACCACACCTGTTGACAGCACACCTGTTGACATCACACCTGCTGACACCACATCTGCTGACATCAAACCTGCTGACACCACACCTGTTGACAGCACACCTGTTGACATCAAACCTGCTGACGCCCACCCTGTCGACAAAACACCCGTTGACATGTCACACGCTGTCACCAAACCTGCTGACATCATTAGAGAGGTGGCACCTCTTGACACTATCAGCCTATCACCAAAACAGTTCACGGTGTCTCAAAGTGTGTTGTCATCTTTGCGAGAAATGTCTGAAAACTGCGACAGTACTTCATTAAATCGAATGGTTTCCAAATATAAACCGCTCGTTGCTCTCAGATGTAAACCTCTCATTGCTCCCAGACATAAATCTCTAGTTGCTCCCAGACATAAATCTCTGGTTGCTCCCAGATGTAAATCTCTCGTTGCTCCCAGACATAAATCTCTAGTTGCTCCCAGACATAAATCTCTGGTTGCTCCCAGATGTAAATCTCTCGTTGCTCCCAGACATAAATCTCTAGTTGCTCCCAGACATAAATCTCTAGTTGCTCCCAGATGTAAATCTTTAGTTGCTCCCAGATGTAAATCTCTCGCTGCTCCCAGACATAAATCTTTAGTTGCTCCCAGATGTAAATCTCTAGTTGCTCCCAGATGTAAATCTCTAGTTGCTCCCAGATGTAAATCTCTCGTTGCTCCCAGAGGTAAATCTTCCCAGGAAATTGTTTCTATCCGCCAGAGCAGCTCTTCACCAGATCCAAACCCAGCCGAGCCAACCCCAGCCGTGCCAATTCCAAGGGTTCCAGCGTTATTAAAATGTAAGGACTCTGGAAGAACTACGCCTAAAAAGAGAGGGAGAAAATGGAGACTCCGGAGTGAACGGCCCAAGTCGTGCATTGAATTTTCCACTGGTCATTCCGAAGAGTGTCGTCCAGTGGAGGGAGTTATCTCTGATAACGACGGCGCCATTTTACTGTCTCCTCGTGTCCATTTGAGATCCTATCGGCGGTCAGTGTCGGAGCAGGATTTCAAACACTGCCTGGACGATCTTGACATTCAGATGTGAAGATTGCAACCGACGGAATCCAGTGAACATTGGAATGTGCTGGTTGGAAGGTCACGCCGACACTGAAATATAGAGGTAACTTTCTGGTGTATCATACGCCATGTGCATTTTGGTAGCGGCAGCGAACCCAATTTTCTTTTTAGTCTATTGGAATAATATCATTGACAAGTCTTCCTTATCTCTCTGTGTGAGGGATATTTATATTGGCTAACCCGTTTGTTTAAAATTTCCATAATTTAGTGTATGTTGATGCATGATCAGTTATTTAGATATGATGTATGTTGGAGTTGTTTCTTTCCAAGCTGTAGGCATTCCTGAGTAACCTAATGACACTGAAAGTTCGTGAGGCAATGACATTAGCAAATTTTTTGTATCCTATATGGCATGGTTTAAAAAATGAACAATTTATTATAAATATATAGATAGATAAGACTATCACGGCTGGACAAAGATGGCAGTTCACTTTTTATTATTGACCTGAATTATAGTAGTATCTAACTCTACATTTTTTAAATATGTTTTTTTACTGCTAATTGAAATGGCAAAATATATTTTAAAGATCGCATCGAATTAATCTTTGCATATAAAAAAAATTTGGCCGTTACTTCTTAGCATTTGTATTCACTTAAGTACTCAAAGGTCCGTACGTTATCATAAGTGTATAGGTCTGATACTAATCCAAAGTGTATAGGGGCGAGACTTATCATAAGTAAGTGTAAAAAAAAAATTCAAAGATGCTCGGCCTCAGTTCACAGCAGAGGCGTAGCGCCCGGTGACAAGATTCATTTTAAAGCGCCCTCTTTCCTATTTTTTCAGCACTCAAACCAATTATTTTCATCAATAAAATAATATGAAATCACATTATGGCGCCCCTAACTAGCTGACGTCCGCGAACATCTGTTCCCCCTTCGCTACGCCTCTGGTTCACAGCAAGAAATAAAATAATAACAACTCATATACAGCAGACAATGTGTCAGAAAAGATCATTATTTTGAACAATATTTATTGAAAGAGCATTATTTGTATAGTTATGTCCTAGCTCTGTTGATAATTTGATTGTAATCAACACAAGTATTTGTTAAAACTGCATAAAAATGTATTGATAAACATTTAACAAGTAAATAAAAGCAATAACAAAAAAATTTTAACCTAAAAACAAAACAAAAAAAATTCAGAAGAAAAATTTAAAATAATTTCACTTAGCTTCTGTTCATCTTGTTTTCTATTGAGACTTTTGACATTTTATCGGGATTCTCCGGAATTATTTTTGAAACATTCCAAACTGATAATAGCCTTACCAATATATTTAAGTGAACTATTTATGTTTTATTTATTAGTTGTTAATGCCTTACTCAAGCAATTTATGATGTTTAATCATTTTACGTATATTAAGTGTTCAAATTTTGTATTGGAGTAAGAAGTGCGACTTTTAAATATATATTTGTAAGCTTATGAAAGTTACCTAAACCAAACATTGTTAGACCATATCATAATCAAGCATAGCTTGGAGTCGGTCATTGGTTTCGATACTGCTTTCAGGAAATTAAAATATGTGTATCATTCTATAATAATAATATTTGTGGCTATATAATTCAGCGGATCTTAAACTGTATTTTTAAACCTTTTTTTTCGGCCCCTTTCAACAAATATTACCAGTATTATATTGTTGATTTGTCGCGAACCGCAGTCAATGGTTTGATCAAATGTCTTAGGCGGTTGGATACAGATGCCATCTATTCTTATCATCTATCCCCAAAGCTATCACACTCAAAAGGTGAGAGTCACACTCAAAAGGTGAGAGTCACACTCAAAAGGTGAGAGTCACACTCAAAAGGTGAGAGTCACACTCAAAAGGTGAGAGTCACACTCAAAAGGTGAGAGTCACACTCAATCAAAGATAGAGTGCTACTTTTGCAGCCCCACAACTTTATCTGATCAGACATTGAAATGTCCTGCTGATGACAGTCCGGTGTAATTGTTAGAGATGGATTCTCAGTGCAACCAGCAGCCAACTGACCCCGACAAAGAACAAACTGAACTGGACATGGCCTTCACCGAAGATGGCTCTAACAGCGAACAGTTAAAACTGCAATCTGGCCAAAGTAACCTTGACCCGAAATTTCCGGAAAGTGTCCGGTGTGATCAAAGTATTAGTTCAAAAGTTCAGCAAAACCAAAATGAGACCAGTTCAAAATCTGATCCAAGTTTATGTGACAATGTGACAGCATTGACCAGTTCAAAATCTCATCCGCTTTTATGTGACAATGTGGCAACAGTTAGCATTTCAACATCAAACCCCATATCAGCATCAGCGGCCCCGGGCAGTGTGACGTCATCGACCTTTCACGAGTCCACTAACATCAGGACGGATAAATCAAAGGGGAGACCACCTCAAAATTCCAGATTGGAAACCTTGTGCGGGAACATCGTTCGGGAGATGATTTTTGTTTCAAATTTTCAAAAACCACGCCAACCCAGCTCATCTCAACGAAACATTCCCAAACTTGTCGACATTTGCTACGACCGCATCCACGGCGCTATCCACGACCCTGACAAAGATCTAGCACGGCTGATTAAACGAGATCCCAAAATGTCTCAGCGCGCTCGAGACAGACTTCTGCAGCCCAATCCCGCAGACTTCCCCAAACTGAAAGACATCTGTTCCAAGCGATTGCTCGGCGACATCCTATTTTTGGACTCTAGCGTCCCGATCCTCTACAATCGGAAACAAATACAACAGGTGTACTCAGCCCTGGTTGGACCGCACCCTCCCGATTTCAGTGTTCATCCCAACCAGGTGAATGACATACCTTGGGGGGAGTTCCATGACGAGCACAAGCGACTGGCGACGTATCTTCTTTATCCACTTAATGCTGCCAAGCAGCCGGTTTTTTTAGCCAAATCTGGATTCGTGTACATCGGGGAACCCTGTTCGGACAGTGTTATTTGCTACTACTGCAATCGCATCAAATCGACCTGGCTTTCAGGGGATTGTATTCAACTTCAGCACCGTCCAAACTGCATTCAGTTCAACCAACCATGATACCGTCCAAACTGCATTCAGTTCAACAAACCAAGATAGTTTTAATGCTGACATCGTGAACTTAACGCCATGAAGGTATTCTAATGTTATCCTAAGTTGTTATCCTAAGTTGTTATCCTAAGTTGTTATCCTAAGTTGTTATCTTATTTGTCGATGCGTGTCCTGTGGGTGGGGGGGGCGGGAATAAATAGTAATTAATTAGATTTTATAAAAAATGTCAAAGTTCAAAACAAATAATATCATAGACATATTGCAGTGGGACTGATGATTATAAAATTCTGTGCAACTAGGAGTCTGTGAACAAACTATCTTGTCTCTATTAAAATGATAGCATGGACATATTGCAGTGGTATTGTTGACTATAAAATGTCTTGCAACTAGGAGACTGTGAACAAACTATCTTGCCTCTATTAAAATGATAGCAGAGACATATTGCAGTGGTATTGATGACTATAAAATGTCTTGCAACTAGGAGTCTGTGAACAACCTGTCTTGTCTCTATTAAAATGATAGCAGAGACTTATTGCAGTGGGACTCATGACTATAAAATGTCTTGCAACTAAGAGTCTGTGAACAAACTATCTTGTCTCTATTAAAATGATAGCAGAGACTTATTGCAGTGGGACTGATGACTATAAAATGTTGTGCAACTTTGAGACCGTGAACAAACTATCTTGTCTCTATTAAAATGATAGCAGAGACATATTGCTGTGGGACTGATGACTATAAAATGTCTTGCAACTAGGAGTCTGTGAACAAACTATCTTGTCTCTATTAACATCAGCAGTATTATCCCTCATTAAGCAGTAGATCGGTCTACTTGTACTTGTGACAATCTCTTGACAATTTTTGTTAGGTTTGTAATTAATGTCATCCAGCACTAAGCTGTAATTAGATTCATCCTGATACAGTGGTAATGAAAGTCATCCTACATTCAAATGTAATTAAAAGTCATTACTAGATTTAGCTGTAATTTAAGTCATCCTAGATTCAGCTGTAACTAAATTCATCCTAAATTCAGCTATTAATTGAAATGTTTATTTATTGCTCATTCCAACAATGGAACATAAAACCAGCTCCCTAAACAATAAACACACATGAATGAAATGTGTACAGTTATTGTTGGGTACACCAAATATGGTCATTGATAAGAGGCCTGGTATTATAATAAGAGTCGAATTATTATATAAGATGTCTCGTATTGGATAAGAGGCCTAGTATTCGATGAAAGGCCTAGTACAATGCATATGGGCTATGAGGTATCGCTAGTGGCGCCACTAACGCGTTGCTGACCGCACTGGCTGACAGCAGCCCCAGTGACACCTCTGGGTAGGGTTAGAGTAAGTTGTCCACCGCATGATAAGACTTTTTTATCTTTCATTAACTGTCACGTCCAAAGTGAAAGTGTTGTTGATGGGGAATAACTGATATAAATATGTAGAGTATCATGAGTGGATTACTGTGCTCTGTTCTTTGTATATATATACGTATATGTATATGTATTATAATGTATGACCCGATGTTAGCTGCAGGAAGTTTGTGATATTTTCTACTTGCTGTTGCGAAAATCATCAGAATTACATTTTTTTTTTAAAAAGAGAACTGTATATGTAATGATGTTTACATTTCTAGATATCTCTAGTTTAGATTTATTTATCGACTGTGTAATAAACGCCTACCCTGTCCCTTTTCATGCCCCTGAACTACATTTTTTTTCTAAAAAGTTGTAAACAATGATCTTAAATTTACAACGAAAACTCCATATACCCATTTTTTTAATATATTAACGGAATTTGATATACTGATATCTTCATTAAAAATTTAACCAAACTTTTGCCTTCTCTTTCTACTAAGTTATCGAAAAGCAAATAATTCTTTTATCTCAAAAAGAATCTCTTCGCTGTTTTTTCACGTCTGTAGCAGCCTTGAGTTTATTTATTGAAATATTGTTCATCTTATAAAAATATTCACTCACTTTACTTTTTGCAAAGTAAAATGAACACATATATATAGATCTATTTTTTTTTTTTTATGAAAACCTTAAACCACCTTTGTTCACGCCTAGGAACTGTAAAATACTAAAATATGACTCTATTTTTAAGATGACATTTTCATGTGTGTAAAAAGGATTGGAGCTTGATATTTTTATCTGAGGTTCGGGTGTACCTCTGTACGGTTGTACCTCTGTACGGGTGTACCTCTGTACGGGTGTACCTCTGCACGGGTGTACATCTGTACGGGTGTACCTCTGTACGGGTGTACCTCTGTACCTCTGTAAATGTACCCAAGTTTTTTTTTCAATGCCATTGATTTATATTTTCTTAATTGGTCAACAAGTTTTTTCGGTAAACAGAGAATGCGACAAACCCTTTCATGACTATGATCTGACTGGATTTGAAGATATTGCCATCCACGTAAAAATATACACACCCTATTCTGTACTCCTGATATATGTACATAAGAAGGTTCATTATGGTTATCAAATTCTTTCCCATATTTTGTGAGGCACATCTTGTTCAGCCTGGGGAAAAATTAAAGTATTGAATCCCCCTCCCCCACAGTTTTTAATAAAAAATTAATAAAACCATCCACAAGATGGTAGACTAAAAAATACGCAGCCAGACATTTTTTTGCACGTACCTGACCTTATTAAAATTCCTAAGTCCAACTTCCAAGATCCCTTTTAGCACACATTGTTTTATTATTATTATTATTATTATTATTATTATTATTATTATTATTATTATTATTATTATATATATATATGTCTATAATTCTGCGCAAAACTAATTAAATTGAAAGATCAGTTCAGTCACAAGCGGTTATGAAATTAGAGAAACTTAAAGCTTTTGATTTTGCAAGTTCAAATTTAGCTGTTATGTAATTAATCTAATATGATTTTAATCTAAAAGTTTACTTCGAAATTGTTCGAAGTGATTTAGATAAAGTCAATTTTAATTTATTTTCGCACTTTAAAAAAAAAACAGCAATAGATTTTCGGGTTTTCTCGATAAATGTGATTATGATTGAATAAAAACAATTCTTGGATCATAATTAATTGATAATAAGAGCAATATCATAACTTTCGACACGCTTAAATAGTTCTTTAATTGTTATTTTAAAGGTATTTGTAATTTATGATAATAATACTGAAACAAATTCTATAATGAAAGGGGAAAATGTTGAAATTTTGACACATTTAAATTTATTCGATTTCCATAAATTATAGAAAATCCCTATCATTTAAGAATTTTAAATTAATTCGTTTTTTAGCGTTGTATGGGATACCCCAGGTCATTCTTATGTATATAATTGTTGTGCAATTTCTTTTTCCTTTTTTAAATGTGAGACATCATCCTGTCTTGTGATGCAATTTGTCCGTACTTTTGGAATGTCGGTTGTGATGAGTAATATGTAACAGAAGTAGGGCCATGAAAATGTCTCAGTTGATTAAAAGACATTCACTGCGAGTGTCAACAATGACAATGAAAGTGTGTTTAAGAGTATTATTTTATTGAACAAACTAAGCTGTGTATTTCCCCAGCATTCAATTGGTTAATATTTCCAAGAATTGTAAATGTCCGTACTTGTGTCTGAAAATTGTGACTCTATGGCATATTTATCGTGGATTCAGTTGTGTGATCAGTTTTGAATTTTGAATATTTATTTATACAAATCATTTTTTAGTCATTCATACATGTTTACATCTTTTATACATTTGTCATAATATAATATGATTATTTAAATAAATATGCACAATAATTCATGAGCGTCACTTATGAAGATAAAAATTGATTTAAATTGTATTACTGAAGTAATCTCATACAAGTAGTAAGTATTACCTGCGCTAAAATGTTGTATTTATGTCCATGTAATGCTTAAATTTGTTATGCATTTACTTAATGTGTCTCCTAGCATTTAGGCTCTTGTCTATAGTCTTAGGCAAAGTGCATTTACTTTCTAATTTCTATATCTTTCAACATAAAGCTTTAAGTTTAAATATTTATTATTTTTAAATATGCCTCAAGTTGAGAGAAATCAAACTCGTTATATTCATAACAAATTACAGAATTTGCTTCCGGCTATGTTTCTCTGACCTCGCTCAAACTCTGACCTCAACCCCTGATCTAACGCCAAACCCTACGGCATTCAAACTCTGACCTCAACCCCTGATCTCACGCCAAAACTTATGGCATTCAAACTCTGACCTCACTCAATCTTTGACCTCGCTCTGTCTTACCTCATCTGAGAATCGCCCATGGTCTTTCTTCTTTTTAACCCAGTGCACACGGGGACAATGCCTTGTATTTACTTAGCAGTGATCTCCCCTCACTGAGCCGTACACCATCCACGAAACAGTGGCTTCAAATGTCTGTACAATATGTTTATACTCATGTATCTTCTTCGTTTATACCACATTTTTATTACTATTGATCTGTCCAATTAGAAGAAAAAAATTACAGCATACGTATATTGAGTAATCTTCTTTACGATTTGTGTCAGACGGAAAAAAAAATCACATACCGACACTACTTGAAATATGCACATAACATGTATTCCTATTGGTTTACACATTTCTATACACCGTCTGTATGGTCTAACTCTGGGACACAAATCAGTATGGGGAAAGGGTAAGTAAAGCATGTCAGGACTCGGGTGTCTAAATATAGATGTTTTATGTTTGCAATAGTGATTCGATCAACTTAACCGTGTTGATTGATTGATTGATTTTA